AGGCGGCCCCCTTGGGCTAGAAGATTTGTAACAGTGTTGAATGTCCATAATCTGCCATGTACCTATGCCATACTTAGAAGGTTTGCAACCAATCAGCTCTACAAAATTTTGGTTGGTGAAGAAAAGGTCTTAGGAAGTTCTGAGAACGGTTTATGCATCAACTTGGTAAAAAGTAAAAACAATGTTTTCCCAATACTTTGATTGAGGCCAATACACAGTAAACCGCTAGTTTTCAGAGAAATATTGGTTTTCATTGAACCAACCATTCAAGTGATAAACCAATTGAAACTGCTGCCCTAACTAAACCAGAATTGATTGATTTTAAACAATAAATTGTGTTTGGGGGTGTCAGTGGGTCAGGTTAAGTGGTAAACCCACACTGACCCATCTCAAGTGAGGTTGAAATGGGTCCTTGTTAAACCTGATCTGTTGAAATACTTGTATATATAAATTTGATTGAGCATAGGTGTGCTATATATGGGATGGGTCAGGTCAAGTTAAATAAACCCTTTTTCATTTAGTCGGATTGGGCTGAGAATCAAAGCAGCTCTTTTTTATTTCTTGGAATCGGAATCGGAATAGTCTATTCCTCTCACCTGTTTGATTCAGACTGAAATTGAAATTGAAATTCGAATTGACTGGAATATATTTTTATTTTAAAGGAGAAGAGGAAATAAGTATTCCCTCAAATGAGGAAATACTATTCCACCACAAATAAGAATGAAATTCCAATTCTACCACAAATAAGAATGAAATTCCAATTTCACCCAACCAAACAATTAAAATTAAAATGAACCAGATTCCAGAACTTTATTTCTGCAAATCAAACGGAATCCAAAACCAGTCCCATTATTAATGGGGTTTATTGAGTCCGACTTGACAAGACTCAATTATACTCGACAAAAACCTGTGAAACTGGTACAAGTCGGTTCTGGCCTGACCGGTTCAGGTGGACCATTTATACTTTCTTCCTTCAATTTCTGAGCTCATTATATTGCTTATAACTGCATAATAAATGCTGGTTCAATGAATCTCAGCTCCATGCAATCAATGGCCAGTTTATTCAAACATTKGTTTAAAATGCTCTGATTCCATGCCAATTCTTGTTGTGTCGGCACTCTTGTAGGTGTGAAACGTGATCCAACCAATTTGGTGGGCCCTTTTGCCCAACCCAATTGGGTGGTGGGCCCTGATCCGCACTTGCTCTAAGATATTACCATCAACCACTACCAGACAACACACAATAAATTCGAAATCTCTGATGCGAAAAAAGAGAGATTTTTTAGAAGCGAACATCTAAAGCTGATGGGGGCCACCAGCTGATTATTGACCTTTTGACACATGTTTGAATAGTCTCTGTTACTCCACACGCTGCTTCTGCCTCCCAAAAGGAATGCAAGCAAGCAAACCATACTCGTTTTTTTCTCCTGCAAATTTGCTCTCAAGTTAATGTCTACCTCTCACTCTCACTCTCACTCTCACACAAATGTGGGGTTTGGGAATGGATAGATGGAGATAATCTCAAGGTGTTTATTCCGTTATTCAATAAACGTTTTATATTTGTGTGACTGTAAAATTAAGAAATACATTTAATGAGGGTGTTTATTCCGTTATTCAATAAACGTTTTATATTTGTGTGACTGTAAAACTAAGAAACACATTTAATGAGGGTGTTTATGATATATAGTTATCATTAGGCATTACATCAGCAAAATGCCAATAAACTAAGAAATGGAAGAGATATAAAAAAACTTCSGTACACACAAATGCAATTAATGAGGCATTTACTGATAGGGCATCTTGTGGCACCATCAATAAACATTTATTCAATAAATATAAATGGAACCAAACATATACCTTATCTATGCAGTTGTAGATATAGAAAAACTGTTTCTAAGATTTGAATCTTTGTCACCTAAATCGTAATGGAACAATCCAACCATTTGCACCAACACCCACATTAGAGTTCAAATCAGCTAATAATACACAGTGTCAATAATGTCCCGTACATAGGAGCATCTCCCCATGAATGACAAAGAAGATGTTCCTAATGTGTGGCTGCAGTGGTTTATTGGGATAGGGTTGGTAGCATATCCCTACCCCCCCTAAAAATTGATTAATTCTTGCATAAAAAGAAAAAGAAGGTGGTTTGTGGTTTGATCTTTTTCCAATGGACTTTGGGTTCTGTTTTTAGGTATGAGAGTGTAAATGGGTTAAGGGGTGATTGTTTATATTGAATAAACCTTTTAGCTTTTGAGAAAATGACTTTTAAGAGGCTCAAATTCACTTGGTCCGATTTCTATAAGAACCCTTTATAAGTTTTTAAAATGTCTTTGAGAAGGTCCATTTCACTATTAATGCATTAAGAGGTGTTTCATGAAATTTTGGTTCCAAAACTGTCCCTATAAACATTTCTGATGGCAAAAATGCCCATGACTTTCTTTTTGTCCAAGACCCTATCTTTTTCTCTAAATTTCTTTGTTTTCTTTTGCTTGTTGGAGACCACAATGGCAGCTTGTAATTAGTAGGCATTTCTTTTTTTTCATTCTTATTTTTTTTTATTTTGCTTTTGTCTTCTACTATTTCAATGTCTGGAAGAGTTCTAACATCTCTCTTTATTGTTTTTTCTTGATTTTTTATAATGTGCAATACCAAGGCTGATTTTTTTATATCTTGCAATACCAGTTCTAACATCTCTCTCTTCAAATTAAACAACATAATACAAAACAAGAAGCTGCAACCCATCTCTCTCTCTCTAAAATTGGAGTTAAACCTAATTACAACCAAACCAAACTACCAATGTGCCGGAAATGGCAATAGGGTCCATAAGGAGTAAGTAGATAGGATGAGGAAAATAAATATTTCTTCCACAATAAATAGAAACTAAACCTAACAGCAACCAAATTAGGCTAACAAACTGCACTCTAAGCTCAGTTCTGCTGATAAAATTGAACCACTGAGTTGTAATACTTCTAGGTTTTCTTTTCCTTGCATACAAGAGCAACAAAAGTACAAAACCAACCACCCGCATGCATGCATCTTTCCAAACAGAGAAGGAAAGAAAATGGGTATTATTCAGGGTTCTGTCGATTCTATCAAGATGTGTTTGCTAGATTTCATAGCAGTACCTCACTTACCTAAAATCCAGAGGAAACCCTTTAATACCGAGAAAAACAATACAGAAAAATCCAGACGAAACCATTAAAAATCATACAAAAGCCAATATTTCTCCGGGTTCTAAAAATGTTGTTTGTCCATACCAATCCAAAAGCCTTCTAATCTGAAGATCCTCAACCTCTAATACCCAAAAGAAAAACGACCCTCAAAATTTAGTATATTTAGCTACTTCTTTCCTCCCAACCATCAAGAAGCTCGATAATATTAAAATATGATGCAGAAAAAGATATGGTACTGAAAGAGTTTTGACCAATCAAAACCCACCCATAAATTTTGATAAATAACAACCTGATTAGCTACCACATTTATGATTCCAATTGATTAATAAGTTTTTAAGATATCATATCTTTTCCGTATCATAATCAAACCTAATAAATAAATATTAAATAGAAGAGTTTTACAGTTTAAAGAGGTATATATATAACATAAAAAWCTTTAAAATCTACATGAAGCAACCTTTTTCCTATACAAAGTATGTGTTAGATTAAAAGGTTAAATTACACTCCATAGCCCTTAAATTTTTGGAAAAGTTCATTGATAGTAGCCTAGTAGGGCTGCAAACACAAATTGCTCGATCCCATCCAATTTCATCATAAACTTTTTGTTTTTGCATGTAATTTTATAAATTAAAATTTATTCTAATTTTATATAGATTTATTGATATTTTAGTACGAATAATATGCTCATATATATATATATATATATATATATACAGATGTGTAGAATTTGAATCTATGTTTTCCATCTTAATCAGATATCAGATCAAATTCAGATTTCTCATATTTTTATTATTAGATAGAATTTGGATATACTCCTATCTGAGATCCGTTTGTAGCCCTAGCAACTTTGGACTGTTATCTCATGATGGAAAGTGGAAAATGACATTAATGTCCTAAAGTCCAATTGGTTAATGAATTGATATAACATTGAAGATCAAAAATACTAAATCAAGTTTGCATTTTCACATTAAAGAAGAAAAACCAATGAGAAACCAATAATGATCCCTTGTATTAAATAAATTATACATGTTAACTATATATTAATGTATTAAATAAATTATATATTAAATGTATAATATTTTCAACAGATTTATTATAATTAGGTCTATCAGATCCCATGGACTTGAGAATTGATTCTAGATCCAAAATTACAGATGACCTTAATATTCTTGTCGATTTGAGACCAGTTTTACTTTTTTTTAGTGATGAACCAATTCTACCTTGTTCCCACCCAGACCCGACCGCTTGACCGCCCTAAAAACTTTCACTCTTTGAATTTATTCATACGAACGCTGTATTAAGTGTTTGATATATATATTTTTTTCAAGCTGACCCTCAAACTGATTGATATATAGAAATAGGGATGGTCGGAGGACTTTTGTCAAACACAAGAGGTGTGATATATCTTTAAAACAGTATATCATAAARAGCAATTTTAATTACTGGAAAACCGAAAAACCCAAATACACTATTACATTCAAGTATTCAACAACAGTTGATTAGCTACTCACGACTTCCTTTCTACTTTTTTTCTTTTCTAAAGAAAGAAAGTTTGAGCCCTCACCTCACAAGAACACTACTTTTTTTTTTTTTTTCTTTTTTGATGTTTGATGACGAGAGAAAAGGAGACTAAAGCTCTCTCTATCATATTGACCCAAAAGCCAATGTACTTTCTCTCTTTCTATCAYACACACAATCACATACACGCACACACATACTCTCTTTAATCTCTCTCTTCACTCTCCTCTCTCACCATTGGACAGTTTTCTCAGAGTACTATAACCCGAGCTGGCATGGCCCAAATGGCAGGTGTCGGCTTTATACAACACTACCAGCTATTACAGCAAAAAGACCGGAAAGCTGTAACCAGTAAAACCCTCCTCCCTTTTTTCTCCATCAGACCTTTAACCCTTCTCCCTCCTCGAAAACCCACCTTCCAGTCTTGTGCCCCACAAAACAGCCATGAATGGAAACTAGAGGCCACACATGGAGATGGGTTCGAACTCTTTGGCCGTTTCAGCGGCCTCTGGTTCGTCTGATTCACTCAATGGCTTGAAATTTGGCAAGAAAATCTACTTTGAAGATGTGGGTATTGGAAGCGCAGCTAAATCAGGAGGTGGGTCGTCGTCGGTTTCGGTTTCGGTTTCCGAGGGATCGACATCGACATCTATGGCGCCGGCGCCGGCGCCGACGAAGAAAGGAAGGGGAGTTGTGCAGGGTGGGCAGCCTCCCAGGTGTCAGGTTGAGGGGTGTAAGGTGGATCTGAGTGGGGCCAAAGCTTACTATTCCAGGCACAAGGTTTGTGGGATGCACTCCAAGTCTCCCAAGGTGATTGTTGCTGGTCTGGAGCAAAGGTTCTGCCAGCAGTGTAGCAGGTCAGTCGGCTTTTGCTTTAACTTATTTTCTCTTGTACATATAAACATTTTTAAATTTGGTTTCTACAGATCATTTTGTAAGTTTTCTTCGATTGGAGCGTTTGGATTCGTTGGGCCTCTTTTTAGATGTTTCATTGTTATTACTGTTAATGTCTAGGGCACTAGGCTGTGTAGTCTTTATGTTTACTCTTAGTCAGACTTTACTTTTTCTATTTCCTAGGTGAACCTTTGGAATGATTTGGCCGGTGTTAGAGTGAAGAGATGTTGGTCATTTTGTATCGGTTGGGATTTATTGGATTTGGTTTTGTTAAATAGATTGATTATGTTGGGTTGTGAGTGCACTTTTCTTGTTATTATGGTTCTGTTGTTTATCTGTTAATATTTTTTCGAGGTGGTATCAAGTTTGTTTGTGATTGTGAATTTGGTTTGGAGTTGTATTTAAATGTTTTCTTTTTCTTTTACTGTAACTGTGGGGGCTTTGGATTTTCATGTCACTGAACAAACTTCTCTTATTGGGTTTCTTTTCTGTTATTCACTTCCCAACTAAAAGTTCGAAGTTTTTTTGCACAGAAGTTATTTCTRCCTTATGTTTCATCTTGCATACAATTGTTGCCGATATCGATCTTTCCTCTCTCTCTCTCTCACTCTGGAAAGGAAAGAGAGGTTAGCAGAAAAATATTAATTTATGTTGCGAAGGTATCTTCATTATTCTTTGAAAGAGGACAACACTCTGAATGTTGAATGTGGGCAATTGAGGCAAGGCTAATTAAAATCAAATTCCATGCTACTTGGTATCAACTCCTATCACTTTAACTTTCGAGTGTTGAGGTTCTTTCTGCTATCTAACTAAACACAATGTGCAAGGTGGACATGATTTGATTAAGTTGTTGCTAAACATGGGAGCAATGAGTTGATAACCTGTTTTCTGGTTTAGGGTTGATTAGGTCTCTAAATCCGAATCTATTTCCATCTCTTAAAAAAATTTGAATCTATATGACTCCTTGTTGAGCTGTTAGTAAATTGGGAATATGAGTCTGAGATTGGTCCTTTGTGAAAAGAAAAAGCCAAGGTTAGGTCCATATCCAGTCCACCTATCCCAAGACCCCAGATAGCTGGGACCAACATTGGGTAATGCCCTTTTCTGGTGTGTCATTTATAAGAGGTGAGAAGACTTATTAGTAGATGTTTGTTTTTTGCATGAAATGAATATAAGAGTTAGAGATGTGGTATAAGAAATGAAAAGAGTTTAGTTTTAGGATTTGATTTTAATTAAGAAAATGGGGATTAAGAGCAGCAGTATAGAATACACATAGCAATGGGACCCACATGTGCTTGGCTGGTTTCAATGGGCAGCATTCTCACTCAAGATAAGTTGAAAAAAAAGAGGCTTTTCAGTTTCCAAACAGATGTGTTTTATGTATGGTTGAGGAGGAGAATATTCTACACTTGCTGTTCCAATGCAGCTTTGTGAGAGGATTTTGGTTTGCTTCTTCATACTTTTCAACATGGCTTGGTGGTCACCCAATGGTTATGCTGAGATCTTTGGAAGCTGGTCAAGAGTACTTGGGAACACTGAAGCAAAAATCATTTGGATCTGCATCCCCTTTGCAGCGTGCTGGGGAGGTTTGGATTTGGAAGGAAAAAATAAAATAATTTTTGAGGGGAAACTGAAAAGCAATGAAGAATTAGGGGCATTAATCAGTTCACAGATAATTGGATGGGTTCTAATACTTCCAGAATTTGAAGGCTTACCTTGAATGTTTGGGTTTTTGTATTTTGAATTAGTGATCTGATTACTGATCTGTTTGTTTCATTTTTGGTGTTTCCAGTTTTTGTTTTGTGAGTGGTGACACCTTGTCACCTAGAAGTTGTACCTTGCTATATTTTTCAATAAATTTTCTTCTTTATTTATCTTCAAAAAGGGACCCACATGTCTGCATGACCATTTGGAAAGGCCTATTTTTCTGAATCTGAGCAATGGGGTTGTCTACCTGGATGAGAGAGAAAGCTGCCCAAGCAGATTTAAGACTGCTTTTTGAACCCTCTACTTTTGTTTAGCAACAGAAAAGGGGTAAAATCATGTGGAGGTGTGCAAGAGCTGCATTGATATGGACAATTTGGGAGAAAGGAATGTTAGAACTTTTTTGGAGAAGGAAAGGAACCTTCAAGAGATAAAGGACTGCGTCTTGGTTAGGGTGATTCATTGACTGAAATCTTTAGACTTGTTTCACCAGTTCTCCTTTAATGACATTTGGAGGAATTGGGCAGCAGTGGCAAGTTGTTCCTTTAATGACATTCGGTTTGGTGTTTTTAGAAAACCGAAGATACAGGTTCAGTTTCGGTTAACCAATATAAAAAACGACGGTTAACTGAACTGACCGGTATACATATGTTTCTATGTATTATATATATACAGAGGAGGTAGTAGGGCAGGGATGGACATTGGACAAGAGGTAAGGCATATATGAAAATCAGAGGAGGTAGTAGGGCAATGATATTCATACCAGAGGAAGCATGTCATTGGTCAAAAGGCTTTGTTGATGGAATAGTAAACACTATTAGGGAAGAAGGTTGGAAAAACTCATTAGTCTATTGTGGGAAGAGCTATGAAACAGTACTGAGAAGGAATGGGAGAGGGTGGTTTATCATGGTAACAGAACACTTTGGCACTAACAAAAAACAAATGATTTACATACCAAAAGGACAAAGGGGACAAGGTTGGGTTTCCTTCGCCAATAATCTTTTGGTGTTTCTCCTGGAAATCGAGAGGAAGGTTGGAGAAGAAATTGATAACAATCTACGTGAAAGTGTTCCAACGAACCATTGTACTCCGGAGACTAGCAAGAAGCAAAGCTCATTTTGTCAAGAAATCATGGTAGCAAGTTCAACTGGACATCGAAAGTTAGCACTTGAAGAAGGGAGAGGCAAATGGGAACATAGAATGGTATTAACAGCAGATAGGGCTGTAAGGGATTGGACGAAAGTCTTAGAGGCAGTTGCGGAAAGACCAGTGATTTAAAGGTGCGAGGCATGCCTAGGCGCATAGGCGAGGTACATTTTAGGGTAGGCGCAACCCATTCAAAAGACGCACACTTGGTGTGCCTTGCACCTTAGCTCAGGCGTGTGCCTTGCGCCTTAGCTCAGGCGTGTGCCTTTTGAAAATTTGCCACTTTTTCCTTTTTTTGAGTTTGGTGGCTGTGCCGGGGGCGGAAAAGTCTTAGAGACAGTTGCGGAAAGAACGGTGATTATAAGGTGCGAGGCGCGCCTAGGCGCACAGGCGAGGCACATTTTAGGGTAGGCGCAACCCATTCAAAAGGCGCACGCTTGGTGTGCCATGCGCCTTTTGAAAATTTGCCGCTTTTTCCTTTTTCTGAGTTTGGTGGTTGGGCCGAAGGCTCCGCCCCTAGACCCTYGTGCCACGCCCCTCGAGGCCAGCCCAAACAAGTCCATGTTAGGGTCTTCGAGAATTCCCTATTTGGTAATGTTGTCCATTCATTCATCCTAATAAAATATCTTCTTAAAAGCAATTAAAACTATAAAATCATTATTTTTTGTGTGAAAACTCATAATTTAAGACCCTAACATGGACTTGTTTGGGCTTGCCTCGAGGGGCATGGCACAAAGGTGGC